AGAGCAAGAAGAACTATTCAGAGGTACAAACAATTTTGTTCAGAAGATTTTGCTGGAAATGATGCTGCTAATGGAGAGCAAATAAGCCAGGTTTTTATACAATCTTTAACGAGGCAAAATTGCGTATTAATACATCACCTTTTATTTTATTGCAATTTACTCACCATCTTTGAAATGTTGCAAATTAATACACCACCTTTACCATTTTTGCAAATCGATACAAGAACGACGGTTCCGTTAAGGAGAATCTGACATGGCACTGATCCACGTCAATGCCATGTCAGATTTTCGTCAGGTTTTTATAACGGAACCGTCAATCATGTATCGATTTGCAAAAATGTTAAAGGTGGTGTATTAATTTGTAAAATTTTAAAGGTGGTGATTATATTACAAAACATGAAAGGTAGTGTATTAATATGCAATTTTGCCTATTTAAACTATCTCAAAAAAATTTTTAAAAAAAATAATAATAATAAAAAAAAAAATCATTTTTGTTTACCAATGTGAGCTCAATGTACTGAAGTAAAATTTGAAATACATATATGAAATGAATTTTCTACTTTAAATTTCTAAAAAAAATGGTGAAATTAAACAGATGGAGTCTCTTTACCAAGATGTAACCAAGTTAAGAGCCAAACATGAGTCCCTGGAAGTTTCACACAGGTTAGTAAAATGTGCAACTTTTTGAGTTAGCTGAACTTATATATTGTTAATTATGTAATGATGTTTTAAAATTTTATAATATCCCAAATTGAAACATAAAAATCTTTTGTAGCTCAAACAATATATATTGGTTACAATATTTTATTTTATTTTATTTTTTTATTTTTAATTTTTAATTTTTTTTAAGGCACTTACTAGGAGAAGATCTGGAGCAGTGTAGTTTGAAGAAATTACAATCTCTAGAGAAGCAGTTATTGAGAATCCAATCAAGGGCCAGACAATTCATGGTAATTACCATTTTTTTTTCTTTTTTTTTTTTTTTTACAATTTACAGGTAGCGGTTATACGGATCGACCCGCCTAATGATAAGACCGGAACATCCAAGAATACTTTCTAAAAAAGCAGGGGGCTTATACGAAATTTTATTATATTAACTTGCTGTAATGACTAGCATCTTATGAAAATAATTACTGTAATTAACCTATATAAAAATGATTTTATTATCATTTACTTAATGAACAGTCTAAAATTTGTTTTCAGACAAAAAGGATGCTGGAGCAAATCAAAACATTGCGCAAAAAGGTAAGGGTTTCTAACACATTTCTCTTATTTCTCTTATAAATAACTAGAAAATTGTGATATTTAGACATTGTTATGTTTCAGGAGAGTGGACTTGAAGAAGAACGAAAATGGCTTAGCGCAAAGGTTATTTATTTATTATTATTATTATTATTATTATTATTATTATTATTATTATTATTATTATTATCATTATTATTAACTATGACTTCTAATGTCTTATTTAGATTTAATTTCTCATAATTCTGGTAACAGACGTGAAGGTTTTTCATATTTTAAACTTAAAATGCCAGGTTGAGGAAGAAAAAAGTTGATGAGATGAACTAACTAGCCTCTCAAGATCTGGCAGTGCATTCTCGGCTTTTAGTCCGAACTTTACATTATAGTTTACAGAAAGAAAATGAAAAAATAAAGAGAAGTTACCGGAACCGAGTTCATGCCGAGTTACATGTAAAACAGTATTAACACATGTCGCAAACAAGATTGATCCTGAGTCATCGGTTCTTAGCTTGGTTGGATCTTAAAACAATGTTGTGTCGCTACCCTCATGGGGTTTTTATCAACATGTGTGTGATCAGATAGTTCAAAACCCAACCATCGAATCTGCCGAAACTAAAGTCACAAAAACAAGAGAAGTAATTTCATCACAAACAGGATAACGTGATTACCTCATCCCAAATCAACTCACCCATTACTTGAAACACGGGCAAAATTTGCATATTTGAAACGAAACCAACAATCCTACAGAAACTCGCAACACGATAAACATTAAAACAGGGGGGAAAAAACATATATAATGCCAATACTGCATTTATTCCCATTCGGTAGGAGCAACTGCAGCGGGTATTACTCCTTCAACAGCCAATTGCGGCGGGGGAGCAGCTGAGTCCCATCCTCCATCAGCAACACCTGCAATTTACCCACCAATTTTAAACTCCCAATCACAAGCTTTACTCGGTAATAGATTTTAAACAAATAGGATTGCATTCTATATGATATGATTTAAACCTAAAGCCAGCGTAAAATTGCTAAAAGATTATTAACCATGAACAAACAATCAACTTATGTGGTGCTCTAATTCACTGCTACTAGGGGTCCAAAGTTTAATCACAGACCAATTATATTTGATTCTGTGTACCAAAACAATTATTAGTTAATTAATAAATAACAATATAATGTATAAAAGACTACCAATCTCACTAAAGGAAAGAAATGAATATAAATCAGATGGACCTGTAGTATCTACAGCAGTCCAACCACTTGCAGCACCAGAAGGCACATCAGGAGCAGCTTGCCATTGAGCTTCTGTGATTTGGGCACTCGACCAGTCAGCACCTCCAACTACAGCAGCAGAAGCTGTGTAATCGCCATAATCTTGAATGGCTCCAGCTTCCTCTTCTTCTTCTTCCTTAGACTCCTCAGGCTCCCGGTAGAAGAATAGATCTACCTGGCAAACACAGAATTTCTTTGTAAGTATTATCCAGACATGAATCCGATTTCAGGGTATAAAACAGTTTTAATGAACAAGAAATGATAGCAGTACTTGTTAACTAATGTATAAGCAATTACTATATTACCATGATATCCCATTTATGCCCGGGAGCAACGAGACCTCGCATCTGGAGCACCATCCTCGCCAAAAGCCAAAAGAGGCAGCCAATGCTGTGCTTACCCTTGTTGTTGGCTGGAATACCGATATCAACGTACCTCATAGGAGAATCGGTGTCACAGAAGGCAATGGTGGGGATGTTAGAAAGAGCGGCCTCCTTAATTGGCTGCAAACAGCATAAATGGACAAGTCAGTAAAGATCTGCACACGGTTATATACCAATTTATACAATCCAAAATAGATAAGTAAAGAAAGATAAAAACAGTAGTTTAACTTTAACCAACCTGGTGATCAGTCCTTGGATCCGTCAGGATGAGAAGCCTCGGCTCGCTAAAAGAAGTCTGAAGCTGATTTGTGAAAGTACCTGGCGTGTGACGACCAGCAATTGCATGAGTCCCGGTGTACTGCGCAAACTTGAGAACAGCCCTCTGACCATAGGGCCTTGCAGACTGGACAATGATGTCCTGTGGGTTCTCTATCGCGACAATGACCCTGGCAGCCAACTGAAGCTTTTCCCAGGTCTTGCCGAGGTTAATGATGTAAATTCCTGAAAAAAATGCCGAGGAACACATACAAGGACCAGCAATGATAAGACTGAGGAGCAGCCTGAGACTCAAAGAATGACAAAGGGGATCTAAAATACACAATCAACTATGACTCCTTTTGCAACATAAGGTGAGAAAGTTCATCTAGCTGAACCCAAAATCACCAAGTTCAAATTTTAATAGGTTACAAGACGCAACATGTCCACAGAAAACCATAGATAAAGAAATGCACTTCCCCATTCAACAAAAATTGATATCAAAGGAATTCCAATTCTACATACAAGTTACAACAAGTTCTACATTTGTCAAACTCAACCTTATAACATATAAACAATTCACATCACCAACACCTTTTTTGCTTTCTAGCTCACTTAGTTTCCTATCTTCCTATCATCATCATCATCATCATCATCATCATCTTCTTCTTCTTGTTGTTCCTTCTGCTGATAGATCACTCTTACTCTAACGAATATGCAGAGCAAATAAATTCATAAATGCAGCAGATTGGCACACAGGATATAGATGGATCTAAGACTTATTCGTAAACCAATCATAACAACACAGACAAAATAACCAAAAACTTGTAGAAAATCAGAGAGCCCGAAGAACAATTTTTTTTGTTTTCACATCGCACGAACCAAATAAACAATGAAAATACAGACACGATCGCGCACACGCTCATTACAGAGGTACACATACCATCATTTCTACGCTTGAATACATAGCGCTCCATCTGAAAGTTGCAGTTTTTGGTGCCGAGGTGAGCTTCGGAAGCGAGCAGCATCTGTATGTCCTTCTCCTTGGTAGACAGCGCCATGATTCCAGCAGAATATTTGCTCTCTCTCTCTCTCTCTCTCTCTCTCTCTCTCTGTAGTTTGTACTAGCGCGATTACAGTTTAGCTCTGTGAAAAAATGGCTGCCGATATTCCGTATTCGGACTCTAGCTCTTATACAAAAACCCTAAATATGCGATAGTCTTTGGGCTGGGCCATTCCAATCTGAAGCCCATCAGCCATTTATTTATTTAGAGTGCTAATGTGGGCTTGGGCTGAACACTGCATAGCCACACTATATTACACATTCTACTAGCGTCGAGATTTATAACCATTAGATTATCATGTAATCGTCGGGGATAGTTGATCTAATGGTTACAAATCCCAATGGAATGATTCCGTAACGGGCCACAGCATCTCCCGCAACTATATATATATAAGAAAAATGTTGAACTGTATCTTGTCTGTAATGCTTGCCTTAGCTATGGAATGTTTCTTATTCCTTTGAGTCTCTAGTAATTATTTGGGATTTTTTTTTTTTTTTAATTGGGCTGCTTCTTACTGTCTTTTTATTTTACTTCAATCAAATTCGTTGCAGTTCTGTTGGCGTTTATCGAAGGAATATATCAGTTGCTAATGCAATTATGAATAAATCCTTTCAATTTCGTCGGCATGGAATATTTCTGTTGATATTTAACAATGGAATTTTCGGTTACAAGTACGATTATGAACAAATCCGTTACAATTCTGTTAGTGTTTACCAACAAAATATTTCCATTGTTATTAAGCAACAAATTAAATTTTTTTCGTTGCTAATATAATTATGAACAAATACATTGCAAATTCATTGGTGTATTTTTTCCGTTGTAATATTTTATTAATATTCTATAGCTAATCCGTATAGAAAGATTATATATATAATGTATTGGTAATCCATTGATGATTCGTTGGTAATCCCCAACGCAAATATTACCGTTAGTAATTTCTATTGGCATTTTGCCAATTTGTTGTAGTGATATATACATATATCAAGCAAATAATATTCCGCCCCAAACTGCATTTGTTCACCAACTCATGGGACCTTAATGAAAAACTAGTACTTTATTTATGTCTTCCGAAAGCTAAAAATGTTGATAAAAAGATGTCAAAAGCCGGTCCTTCTATTTGGCTGCAGGCCGATAAACAATTCAGTCACTACCCCAGAGCTCTGTGCAGTACAATGGCTGCAACTCTCAATTTCTTTATGTTTTCCCATTTCACGACTTCGCTTCAATTCAATCTGCACGAACATTTTGTCGTTATCTTCTTTCGAAACAGTACATTCAAAGATTCAAAACCCTTAATAATGTCAGTTTGAACATCGTGCCAAATGTGAAAATCATAACATGCTCAGAACTCGGGAGATATGAAAATGAAAATATACTTTCCCAAAGTTTAGGTAACATTGATTAGTTTGGATTCAAGTGTAACAATTATGGATGCATAATTAGAAAGAGAAAAAAATAAATGACACATCACAAGAAGTAATATGCACATTGATCATAATCCTATAGTTTCATTCGAAGCATATTGAACGCATAAATGTCGTATATTCGTGACGAAAGAGAATTATGGCCAAACATGTTTTACCTTTTCGGAGAGTTTTCCATTTTCTTCCAGCAAAAACTTCTCCTGAAAATGAAAATTCGAATCATATATGATATATATATTGTTAGCAACATAAATTTTGGAAACTGCACAAATAATCCAACATATAGTTTGATCGAACCTTTGCCTGTAATTTTTCGATTTGTTCCTTGAATGCTTGAGCCTGAAACAATAACCAAGACTTTATTCCTTATTTTCTTTCGGTTGTTCATGCTTCAGCTCAAAAGTAGAGCGGAAAATAATTTTCACTATTGTTATATTTTCTTTGATGTCATATCTTTCTCAAGGTTACCCAACTAAGTTTTTTCATCATATAAATATCATTGCCATGTGCAATCTTGCAATCATTTTATTATCAAATCAGAAACAATTCAGTATGATCGAGTATATATACATATACCTTTCTCAACCGTATGTTTTTAAGGCTTTTCTCCAATGTGCTATCGATTTCTTGAAGTTCTTCCATCGAAGACGTCCCTAGATTATGCCCTAAAAGCTTCCTATATATAACATAAGTCAGGCCTAAATTAACTCATCAAATACTTCAAAAGGAAAAGCAAAAATTCTAATAAGACAACCTGTGGGAATTTTCCAGTAGCTCTATTTGCTTTGCTAAGTATGTTGCTTCATGCTTTAGCTTCTGCAAGAACAAGCATACATTTAATACATAACATTTTTCTACAATTGTTCTCTTCGAGTTCTCATTCTTGAAAATGATCTATAATTAACTACCTCATTTATAACATTTTCTGGCAAATCAAATTTCTAATTAACAAATGAAAAAGACCACTTAGAAACTTATGGCTCATCGACTCATCTAATTTTCGAAAATAATTCTTCACATATTTCATCGCGATAAAACTCTTTCAACATACGCATTGGCAATTGGGCAAAGACGAAAGCCGACTTCAAAAGTCTATATTGATATTCTACAAGGAGGTAATTAAATTAAAGCAAACCTGCATGTGTTCTTCAGCTTCCATGCCAGAATTTCGATCTTTTGTCAGTTCAATGTATTTCTCAATTGTTTTCTGCATGCTGAAGATTTTTATGGTATATCACAGTGCAACAATAACAATGAAAGTACTACAAAGTAAAAATGCAAATTAAATGAATGAAGTTGGCATGTTATGAGTTGGTTCAGCGCTTGCTCGGAAACACTTCTCAAATGAACTTTTAGATATTGTAAAAGTCCATTTGGATAAATATTAATGTATGGTGTTAAATTAAGAATGGACATATAGATAAGTTGTTTTAACAAAAAGTCCATTTTGTAAGAATACAAGAGATTGTATGGGTAAAGAAAAACTAAATCTACGAAAGCGTACTAAAGTTCGTAGATTACTAAAGTCCAATCTCTAAAATCATACTAAACTTCGGGATGGTTCGGTTTGGAATTTGAGAATACCAGTATGGTTCAGTTGGGATTGGAGCTACAAAGATTTCTACTTATTTTTTTTTTTCTTTTTTACATGACTAGTTAGTTATATTTAAATTTTGATATGTTTCTTTGTTAATTTCCAAAATTCACGAATATTTAACCATATTAAATATTTTATTTGGAGACTAACATTTGGAAATATAAGAATAAATTAGAATTTTAGTTGAGACTATATTCTTGAACCTAATGAATAAAACTTGAAATTATTAATTCTAACAACAGATAATATAATTTAGAAATAAAATATTTCTCTAATTTTTCATATAATATTAATTATAAAAAAAAATAAGAGTAAAAAAATAGCAAAAAAAAAAATATAAATATCATTTTCGAAAAAATTAAAAAACTATTAATTGAGATCAAATATGAAATGGAAGTAAAAACTAATCGTTATTAATATTGCTTTTAACTATTTTGGAAATACTTAAATCATGCAGTACTAATATTAATGTAATGAACAACACACATGTAATGTTATATTCGCTTCTTAATTTCAATTTATCGGTCCGGTACGATATGAAATGGTTCCGTTACGTTTTTTATACGGATATTTATGAAATCTATATAACTTTAAGAAAAAAAAAAATAATAACACTTAAACCAACATGATTATAGCATAGATATATAATGGAAAGCATAAAAATAATCATAGAAAAATAATCAAATCTTTCTTTCTTATTTTCACTCATCATCAAAGGGATAACCTTCTAAAGTTTATGTTGGGTTGAGATTTCATTAATGATTGTTTTAAACCAAATGAAGCCATGTGTAATTTTTTAAATTTTTTTATATATATACTCAATATAACCTAAATACAAAACAATATTAGCCCATGCTAAATAAGTATGGACATGTTCTACAACCATAATGTAGCTTAGAGCATCCACAATGCTTTGGGTTCCATTACAAAAAATTGTATGCCACCTAATAGACCTAATAAAAAAAATGTATTCTCCAATGCAAACAAAAGTAGACTGGGTCCTGCTAATGTGGCAGCCCAAAAAAAGAGACTCGGTGTACCCTTAAGTCTATTTTAGACCCAAGTAGAGACCTAGTCTCTTTGCATTGGAGTGGATTTTAGCAATTTTACATAATTTTATCCATGTCATCAAAGACTTGGGTTTATTTACATGCCACATAGACAAAAACAAGACCTAATACATTGTAGATGCTCTTAGTGATATAAACACATCTCTAGGTACAATTTATACACAAATATAATTAAGATAAAGAAAATAGAAATTTTATAAGACTCACTAAAATTCTATGGTCCTCATGAGAGAAAATTGCAATTTTAGTCCAGTAACTTAGGCTGTTTCCCATTTTAGTCCACTAATTTAGGCCGATTCAAATTTGGTCCAAAAACTCTCAAAAGTTAGTCCAAAAACTTAGGTTGTTTCCTATTTTAGTCCACTAACTTAGTCCGATCCAAATTTGGTCCAAAAACTCTCAAATGTTAGTTAAATCAGTCCAATTTCAGTCCAATTGATTGGTCAATTTCAGTCCAATTTTAGTCCAATTGGACTGATTTAACTAACTTTTGGGAGTTTTTGGACCAAATTTGGATCGACCTAAGTTAGTGGACTAAAATGGGAAACAGCCTAAGTTGATGGACTACAATTGCAATTTTCTCGTCCTCATGATGTGGTATACTTTTAGTTGGTGTATTAAGTGAAATATTAATAATCTAAATTATACAAACAAATTAAAGCATTTACAATCTCCTTTACCAAAAATATTGCTACAACTCTCAATTGATAAATCATCCACAGTGAACAAATTCTACCAGGGAGAAAATTGGAAAGAACTATGAAGCCTAATAAGTTCCCAACTAGTCTTGCCAAATGGGCTAAAGTACATTGAT